AGAGAGAGGCAGAGACATAGGCAGAGGGAGAAGCAGGCTCCATGCAGGGAGCCTGATGTGGGACTCGATCCCGGGACTCCAGGATCACGCCCTGAGCTGAAGGCAGACGGTCAACCCCTGAGCTACCCAGGTGTCCCATCTTATTTCACTTTAAACATGGGGGGGCTGGAGTGCACAGCTGTACTTTCCAGAAGCAGAGGTAACTTATCCCATTCCAAGGTGGCACGTCGTTAGAGATCATAATCCCCTCCACTGGTGAGCAGAGCTTTGTCCTTGCTGCCCTCCATTGCCAGGGCATCTTCTCCTTTGGTTTTGGGGCAACCATCCCCAGCTTCCTTCCTTTTCTCCCCCCACTACATTACACAGTGACTGAGCAACGTCCAAGGGCTAATTTGGGAGGAGTTGAGGGAGTCAAATGGGACTTTGTATTTATGATTCACTTCCACTAGCCTTACAGAGATGATGGATGGCACTGAATAACACATCCAATTTTTGAGGCTTGATATTTGCTAACTATGTAGCCAGGCCCCTTTGGCTCTCATTGAAGGAGAAACTTAAGCTATTAACTGAGATTAAGTGACTCATTTTGAGGTCAAACAGTAAATCAAGGATAGAATGAGAATTAGAACCACAGCTCCAAAGAGCTGCAAAAACAGACGTGAAGAGGAAAGAAGGATACAAGTTAAGAAGATTTCTCTTTCTCCTCTGACTACACTGACAGACAACCTTGGCTGTGGATTATTCTCAGGGATTAATAATTCATCTTGAACCTCAATAATGAATTAGAGTGTTCATGGACACGGCATCTTTGTGTGACGGTTCTGTGCTCTGCTCTAGAAGAAAGTGGAAACGGATTTAAATGGTTCACGGATCTCTGCCTGCTGCTCTGTCTGCAGGGTGGAAGCACTTCAACATAACCCAGAAAGAATTCATTTAACACATGTTGTATGGCAAGCATTGTGTTAGTCCTCTAAAACAAATATCAGAAAAAAAATTTTTTAAAGATTTTGTTTATTCGTGAGAGACACAGAGGGAGGCAGAGACACAGGCAGAGGGAGAAGCAGGCTCCATGCAGGGAGCCTGACTCGGGACTCGATCCCAGGACCCCAGGGTCACGACCTGAGCTGAAGGAAAATGCTCAGCCACTCACCCAGGTGTCCCAAATATCAGAAATTTAAATAAGACCCAATCCCTGTCCATAAGGAACTTAGAGTCCAGTGATCTACTCCTTACCTCAAATTGTTGTTTGAACCATTCTCTTTCTGACTTGTATAATTACAAGAAGAACGCAAATTAGACTTTGACTCTAAAGTATCAAGAATACACAGTTCTTGAAGACCCAATTGCTTGTTTTTTATTCAGCCGGATGAACCGGAGGATGCCAACATGCACACATTGACATCAGTGGCTGCCCTTCAGTTGTAGACTTGGAAAGCGGATTCTAAATCCTCCAGTGAAATGTTTTGGCAGGCATTTTCATCCAGATATGATTAACAAAACTAAAACAATGCGCACATCGATTCTGACTCTCAGGGAGGTCCTTGCTGGAAGTGTTAGCAACTGGAGTTTCGAGTGCTTTTGTCCAACCAAATCTCATTTCCCCACCGGTCATAATCTTTTAAGTAGCTTTTCTGTATTGGGGTAAATAAAGTAGCATAGGCATTTCCTTGCCCAGCCACTCTTTGCATTTTTCATCACTGTGACATTTTTGGAGGTTATGACTGACCCATGACTTAACGACAGCAGAAAGGCTGTTGGAAAAGCTATCACACGAGTATGCAACCAGCTAGAAATCTGAAGGAGCATGGTCTGCGCAGTCCATTCATTCAACAAATATGTACTCGGCACATTTTTTTTTTTAAGATTTACTTATTTATTTGGAGAGAGAACAAACGGGAGGGGCAGAGGGAGAGGGAGAGAGGATCTCAAGCAGACTCGGAGCTGAGCGTGGAGCCTAAAGAGGGATCATGACCTGAGCTGAAACCAAGAGTCAGACGCTCAACTGATTGTGCCACCCAGGCACACCAGGACAAACACATTAATGAAATCCTCCGACCTGCTTCAAGCAGACTTCCCCCCCTCTGCCTTCTTCACCTCTAACCAATGCAACTTTGGGGACTTCTTCAGAAAGAAACAGAGGTCATTGCTCGGGAACACCTTCACATTCCTGTCTTCTGACTTCTCGATCTGTTCTCATTTTTACTTGTATAGTCTCAGAGCATCACCATCTTTCCTCCTGCCCAGGTTAACTCATTGTTCTGTGTTCTAGAGCCCATTCCTTGCCAGTTAAGGATCTCCTTGCCATCCAAAACTTCCTTCTCCTCCTATCCTTGGGTACTTTACTTTCTGCGTATAAAGAAGCTTGACCCTCCTCTTCCTGGGCCCTTGAGCCCCAATCTGACCATGGCCTCCTCTTCTTTTACTTCAAAGCTTCTAGAAGGACTGGCGATTGCTCACTTTCTCACCCACTGTTCACTTCTCGAGCCACCATCCTCTGGCTTCTCTTCTTTATGCCACTGAGATAACGCTTGCCAAAGTCATCGTTCATTTCCAAGCCCATTGAATTTTATTTTACTTTATTTGTCACAGGTCTTTATGTCTTTTGAAACTGCTCTCCTTCTGAAAACTGCTACTCCCTGGGCCTTGTGGTATACTATGTTGGTCCTCCTCTTTCTGTGCTGGCCACTCTCAGTGACTCCAGAAGCTTCTCGTCCATTATGCCTGATGACAGAAACCTCAGCATGGGTAGTTTTCTGTGCACCTCACATTAAACTATTGCATTTTAGTCTTCACAACAAACTTTAATGAGTACAAGTATCTCCCCCTTTCAGTCACAACAAATGTGAGGCTTAGAAAGGCTAAGCCATCTGCCCAGAGTCAGGGCTGGTGCCCAAGTCCAACCTAGGTGGCCAAGCCCCAGAAGCCCCTCCTCTCAGCAGCTAAATGTTACCTTTCCCCTCAACCCTTTTGATTAATTTTAGCACCTCATTTATCTTCATCTCACCTCTATGTTCTCCCAGAGAGATCTAATTTACTTCCATGTTTTAATGATGGACTATCTATATAGTGACGACTCCTGGGACGGTTCCGACCAAGAAGCAGACACCAAACTGGACCTGGATATGGGAGAGACTCACTTGGGAGAAATGCCTATAAGGGATAAAGGAGAGAGTGGGGACAGAAGAGGATTTTCTCAGTGTGCCCCTGAGAAAATCTGCGTTAGAGAAATCCTGCAGGGTGTGCTGTGCTCAGTCACGGGCAGGAGCGGCCCAGGGAGGTGGGGGTGCAGGGAGCCCTGCAGTGGGCCACAGTGGAGGGGCAGGAGGCTCTCTGCCAACTAGGTTCATCACAGCAGGTGCCCTGGAAGGGACACCTGAGCAGTTTACCAGGGAGTACACCTCCATCGATAACACGGAACCCCAAGAGATCTTTTCGGTGCTAACCAGTCTTTGAATTTCAGTCCTACACTCAACCATTCTCTTGCCATGGCTATCCCAGTCTCACGAAACCTCAAGCTCAGCATGTCCAACACTCAATCCACTTAAGGGCCTCAACCCTAAAAGTTCCATGTTCTCCGTAGTCCTGACCTCAGTGTGTGGCACTGCCACCCATCCATCATCTGAAGCCCCTCCTTCCCTCACCTCTGCACATATAATCCGAAACAAAGTTCTGTGGATTTTATGTCCTAAATTTCTCTTAAATTGGTTGCTCATCCCCTCTCCATCCACACTACTGCTGCCTGCACTGCGCTGCCCACGGAGCGATCTTTCCCCACAAAACTCACCCCATGGACTGATAATCCCAGTATGACGTCGTGAGTGCTTAGAAGTGAACCTCACGTGCTAGGGAATTGGGTCCCTGATGGAAGTACAAGGAAGCTTTCCTGGAGGGAAAGCATCTGCAAAACCACCAAGTACAGGATTAGCCCCTGTTTCAATAGAGGATAATGCACTTGGCTGTTCATGGCCAAGAACGGTTTAGTCATAGGAACGTTTCGTGCTGCTATTAAAACAGCAAATTGCTAAAGACAAATAAGGAAAATGCTTCAATTTCCCCGAAATTTGAGGACCTTTAGGCTTGGGATTTCTGTCTTTTAAGTGCAGTCAACATCACACGTATCTGCTGGCTGCGTTTCACGTTCAGCCACCGACTTTGCCACAGCGCTCCCTGACCTCACCTCACACTTCCCATCTCCTTTGAACCTGAGAGGCAAACTCATTCTTACCTCTCTTCAGGGAGGGATTGTTTATTGTTTCTCCGAAGAGAAACTTGAGAAGGCCAACAGTGTGGGCCTCTTTGCAGGTACAATGAATTCTTGATGGGTCTGAGAAACAACCACCTAACAGTCTATTTCGGATTTCAAGGATATCAAAGAACTTTAGAAAATCACCCAAGTTTTGAGTATTTTGAGTTTAATCTCAGGACGTGTCAATTGAGATATTACTCTAATACGCTCTGGAGGATACTAGATAGTTTGCTCAGTGAACTGACTTGTGAAAATTTAATCAGCTAACTTACGCTTCCTGTCTCAGTGCATCCAGGATGCAGAAATAAACACTTGGCTTCTTCCAGAAGAAATTCATTCTGCATTCTCTAGGATACAATGCAACAGAAACTATAATAGATCAGATCAACAGACACATGTGAAGATGCTATAAACCATAAATAATGCCAAATATCAGCCTTATAATTTTGGCATCTAAACATGATTTCCCTAGAGGATTTCATTTTAATCACAAATAGTTTATGAACTGGCTTCATATTCATGTTTATTTTCTAAAGGAAATCATTCCATTATCTTCCCTTTGACTGTAGGAGCAGAGGAGAAACAGCAGGAGAAAGACAGCTGAAGGAAAGGTCACGGCTATCGATTTGATTGTTCAGGCAGATGATTAACTGCCTCTGCAGAGACAGCCCCAAGGGCCACGGAAGCCATGGCTCAATTGAAGACTTGCCCAAGTTTCCCTCCTTATTATTGAAATCTGCTCTTGGTTTCACAGGTATACATCGGTGGCTTGATAACTTCATTTTGTGCGCTCTAATTTTTCCTCCGTATTCAAGACCAGCAAAGCAGGTAATAGCTCTATGCCCAGTGAGGCATCTCCATGCCAGGGTTTGTGTTTGTGCCAAGGTGGGAAGGAGCAAGAGGCAGAAGAAGCCCAGAGAGATCGGACCCGAGACACAAATAAAGTGAGGAGAGGAGGCATCGCTGCCACACTGGGTGGCTCTTCATTCTTTTTTAGAGTACTGGCTCGGTCCCAGTACAAATAGGCACTTTCCTGGTGGACCAGACTGTTGGTTTTCTACACTCCAGTTAACTGAGACAAGCTGGGGGGTCAGGATCTGCTGGAGAATTATGTGTCACAACACAATACTACACATAAAGTTCTAGTTTTATTAGCAGCAACCATTATTATTATGAAATAAATGTGAGCCCACTAATGGTTATTCATACAATAACATCTTTCTCCCTCCTGTACACTCCAATGATCTTTCCTAGGGGAGAGCTGTGGTCGGAGGGGGTTACTAATAGGCCAGGGAGAAGAGGAAATCACTTCTTGGCTACACTTCTCGGTGTTTGGTGCCTAAGCACCTCCTCTGTGTTGGGTGTCATGGTGGGAATAAGGTTGAGAAATGCTTGGTTCAAGAACAATTTCTCAGGGTGGGGGGGTCCGGGCCCCAAAGGTGGTGCATGACCACACTTACGTGTAGCATCTTTCTTCTCTCTTCCTCCTCCCTCTGCAGTCTGATGCTGCAACACACAACATTCACGTGGTGCTTTAAACGCTTTGGATGAGCTCCTTCCAAACCTCTCACTGAGTTGCCTTGGGCCAGCCTGCTGCCCCCAACTGGGTGCTGCAGATCTGCCCTCACAGCTGCAAGCATCCAAGGAAAAGAGGGAAATGGAACCAATCACCTGGCTGTTCCAGGATGCCATCATCGGGTACCTAGCCTACCGGAAAAATAGGCAGCGTTTTCCTTTTTCACACCATCAGCATTTGTCATTTAACTGCTGTATGACCTCAGGAAAAATTTCTGAACCTCTCCAAGGCTCAATTTTCTCAACTGGCAAATGGAAATATGGTAGGTTGGTTGTAAGGGTTAAGTGAGGTCTTGTTGCTGGGAGGAAAACTGTCTTCCTCTAACTTGAGTACAGATTATCAGGAGAAAAGATGAGAAGTTTATTTACTTTCACAGGAGCCTGCAGATCAAACGGCTCTCAGAACAGCCAGAGATAGGGGTTATATACTCAATGGGAAGAAGGGAGGGGAGGGAAGGGCCTTCTCGGGTAAACAGAGGGAAGGGATGGCAGTTTCAGATAGAGTTTGTTAAGCAATTAGGTGATAATATTAGACTGCTCTCTGGCTGTGAATCTCCTGAGAGGGAACTGATAAGCTGTGTTTTTTGGGAGGTTCTGCTTAAGTTAGATTTCTTTTTTCTTTTCTTTCTTTTTTTTTTTTAATGAGAGAGAGAGAGAGAGACAGAGAGCTTGAATGGAAGGGGAAGAAGGGAAAGGAGAGAGAGAATCTCCAGCAGACTCTGTGCAAAGGGAAGAGGCCAATGGAGGGCTCAATCTCACGACCCTGAGATCATGACATGAGCTGAAATGGAGAGTCAGATGCTTAACTGACTGAGCCACTCAGGCGCCCCAATAAGGGTTCTTTTGTGGCAGCTGTTTGCTCAGATGTTTTTGGCTTCAAGTAATCGCTAGGCCACTGAGGTACATATTAGATCCCTTCACCGTAAGACGGTGTTGGAGGTGTTACAGGATAGTTCAGAGACATTACCAAACAAAGGGCACCACCAACCCTAGGACCGATGGCTCCCTCTGGGCAAAGAGGAGTAGGATGGACCACAGAGCGACAGCAGCGAGGGGGAGACATGAGGCCTGTCTCAAGAAGAGAAAAGAAATTCCCACTCTCTACTTTTCTACCATAAACACAAATGAAAGGTTTCTGTCTCTACCAGGTAACAGCCTCTATGACCCACAGCATAGGAAAAAAAAAAAATCAAGCTGAATAAAAATAACTTTATTTATGAACTTTTTACTTCACATTGCATAGATTTTCTGTTTTGATTTCAATTTTTAAGGAACTCATATTCCCCCCTTTTGTTTGTGGTACAGAGTATGTGGCTGGGAGTGAAGACACATTAGAAAAAAAAATCATGTAATACACAGTTATATCAAATATGGTTATTGTACCAACATAGACTGACTCCCAGTGAGAACCTTGCTTTAGTTTTGTTACTTATAATTTTTAAAGGATTTATTAATTGCATGAAGCGCAAAGGGCATTGAGCCAAACCTGTGAATGTTATTCTACATTAATGCAAATAAGTTCTAAAAGGATAAATCTGACATTTTAATAGGGCCGATACAACAAATCTTTTCTTCCATGAGGTACATTTCCCCTTCCAATGGCTAACTCGTATGTATGTATGTATTTATTTAGTTAGTTAGTTAAGATTTTATTTATTCATTCATGAGAGACAGAGAGAGAGAGAAGCAGAAACATAGGCAGAGGGAGGAGCAGGCTCAATGCCCGGAGCCCAATGTGGGACTCGATCCTGGGACTCCAGGATCACGCCCTAGGCAGAAGGCAGGCGCTAAACTGCCGAGCCACCCAGGGATCCCCTAACTCATATTTATTTTATTTTATTTTATTTTTTTTCCCTAACTCATATTTAAATAAGAAGTAAGGAGAGTAAGGTACAATGGTGGTGATGAAATGTGCACCCAACATTTCTTGGAGTGACTTAGTCACTGATGCCAAAGATTATCAATTAGTCTAAGAACATGGAGTACATATTAACAAATAAGCATTTCTGGAATTATTTGAGGAGAGGTGACATTTTTCATAGTCCAAGAGGTCCCCTATGTTCAACCATTCTTTCTGCCCCATAGTCACCTGCTTAAGACCAGGACATGATAGAACTACTCAATGGTTCTAGTCACTTAAGAAAAAAATCTTGCTCTCTGCAAGTTCCCAGAATTTTTGTCTGCGTTATTGTTTCTTTTGGGTTATAAATCCCAAAGCAGTAGTTTTCAGCTCTGGTGTCATGAGCCAGACACTGATGTGTCCTCATCTTGCTAGTGAAAGGAAAGGATGGCAACTCAAGGAGTGAGATGTGGATAGGACTGAGCAAAACTCACAGCTTGCCCTATAGGTGTGCCTAGACCCCTAAAGCATCTTGAATGCCTATAGGAGTGGGTCCTTCATGCAAAAGTCCTCTGTAAAGTGTGCACCGTTAGAACAAAGGTTGGGGCCATGTTGACACAGGTACCTGCACAGCATGGAAGGGTGTCCTCACCAGCTGGGAATCTCCTAAGGACCTCGATGATGATAGTAACAATCATGGTGACAACAAAGGTGGTGATGAGGATGATAATGTGCCTTTGTTCTCAAGTAATTGCCAGTTTCCCCTATTTCATCTTTTCTTTGCCTACATCCAGAAAAGCTAGAAAGTGGGCTTAAAGGCAAAGACTCCTTCCTCCCAGGAAGCACAATGGATGCTAAGAGGTAAGATGTACAAACTCTTCTCATCTGCCTGTTCCACCCATAGGCCTGGATAAAGGTATGATCTGCTTTCCCAAGTCTGAGGTCCCTCTGGAGCCCCATCAGTATAAATTCAAGGTTCAGCATGGCTAGCAAAGAATAATGGGTGTTGCTCTTGTGGCAGACACTGCAGTGTTTACCCAATAGCCAGCCTCACCCCCAACCCCTTCTGGTGTTTACTCTGCAGCTCTGGGGCATGAAACATCAATCAGAGGCAATCACAATAGTCTTCTCTCCGCCAGTAACTGTTTAGGCGTTGGCACCTTGACCCTGTCCTTCCCTGAGGGTAAGTCTGCTGTGGAAAGTCTGGAAAAGCTTTTCCTCATTAGTTAAAAATAAAAAGTTGCACAAGAGGACATACTCTTTCCTTTGCTGGACATCATGGTACCTGCATGTGATACCGGGAGCTGCTGTAATCTCTGGGGGCCAGGAGAGGAGATACTGGCCACATACTGGGGATGTGAAGCTGCTGAACAGAAAGAAGGGAGCACCTAGGTCTTTGATGCCATCACGGTGCCCCTGTGGTGAGCTAACCTGGTCCTGCTCCCTCTGTGGCATTCTAGGTGGGTGATGGTGGTCGTAAGCCTGTGATTGCTTAAACCACTTTAAGGAGGGTAGGTCTTCTGCTGCTTGTGGGAAAACTAGCAGACACATACTTTAGAAGGTCATCCAGGCTTCTGATCAGCCACGCAGTGATAAAGGTCATGAAATTGGTAAAGAAACTATAGGACCATGCACGTGAGTTGCCCTGGCCCCTCAGATAGTTGCTGGTCTAAGAAAAAATCATTGAAAATGGGGCACCTGGGTGGCTCAGTCGGTTGAGCATCTGCCTTCGGCTCAGGTTATGATCCCATGGTCCTGGGATGGAGCCCCACATTGGGCTCCCTGCTCAGCAGGGGAACCTGCTTCTCCCTCTCCCTCTGCTGCTCTCCCTGCTTGTGCTCTCTCTGTCAAATAAATAAATAATTAAAATCTTTAAACAACAACAAAAAAATAATTGAAAACTATAATTTTTCAGTCTTCTACATCCATTCACTCACTCAATGACTATTCAGTTAGCTCTTGCTGTGGTTTTGCTGAAGGACATAAAAAAATAGCATACTTCGGGGTGACTTAGTGCTGTAGCATTCACCAAGAACTTCACATGCTCTATTTGATGCCCACAAGAACTCAGTGAAATCAGTATTTATTATTCCTATTTCACAGATGGAAAAATCTGAGGCTCAAAAAAGATTATCCAAATTTCCATAACCTGACTCCAAGTCCATGTTTTTTTTTTCCATCCAAATCTGAAATGTATCTTGCTCAGGATGCTCAGGATCAAAAGCTATGGAGATGAGGTATCCCTACATTTAAAATGAAAAAAAAAAAAAAACCCTTAAATAATATTTGGATGGCAATGCAAACAGCTATTCAATTAATTTTTTTAAAAGATTTTATTTATTTATTCATGAGAGAGACAGAGAGAGAGCAAGGCAGAGACACAGGCAGAGGGAGAAGCAGGCTCCATGCAGGAAGCCCGACGTGGGACTCAATCCGGGGACTCCAGGATCACGCCCTGGGCCGAAAGCAGGTGCTAAACCACTGAGCCACCAGGGCCGCCCCTATTCAATTAATTTTACAGTATACTAAGTAGTTAAGTACCAAGTGTAGAAGGTGAGAGCAAGCATCATCCAGGAGGAATTTAGCAATGTTGATGGAGAGTCAGTGTGTATGTTTAGTACAAGTGGAAAATAATCTTTCCCACACAGGGACTAACAGCTGTATTGGAATCTGATATAATCATATAAAAACGATTATAATTTCATATAAATAAAAAATGCATAAGCCAGATTCATGTTTCTCATCAGATCTTAGTCACCTACTTTTGTCATCTGTAAGTAATTAATTCCAAGCTTGAAAGATTTGATAAAATAATTTCATTTGAAAAGCAATCATGCATGTATGTTGAGAATATTAGAGGAAAGATTTAAAGTGATTTCATTTGCCTCAATAACAAAGTGAAGGAAATGGATACACTTTAGATTCTTACTTTTACTAATTATTACTTATTTCACTTACAGAGCTAATAACACTGAAGCCCTTCAAACTGTGCTGTCTGCTTCAGTAGCAAGCAGCCACTACCCTCCTGTGGCTATTTAACTTTAAATTTTATTAATTAAAATAAAATGAAATAAAAGTTTAAAATATAGTTTCTCAGTTGCACTTCCCACACTTCATGCGCTCAAGAGCCACATTGGTTAGTGGCTACCATACTGGATAGTGCCAAGTATAGGACATTTTGGTCTTCGCAGAAAGGTCTGCTGGACACCGCTGCTCTAGATTCTCGCAAGTGATAGACTGATAGAGAATGTAGTTATTTCTTAAAAGGGGGGAGATACTCATTTCATACTAGAATTTGTTTTTGCATTGCATTATATAATTATAGCATCAGAGTTGCTTTGTTCACTCATTATGAAACAAATATTTGTGCTTTGTTAGGCACTGTATACGTACACTATTTCAGTTCCCCTAGGAATTGACAATTGTTTCTCCCAGAATCTAGTGCCTATCACCATGCAGGAAAATAGTTCTACTTAATAATTTGTTTATTAATGGGATGACTGAGGAACAACACAGACCTTAAAACTTCTTCCTCTTTCATTGGGCAGGTTAGGAATGCAACCTATGC